TTAACAAAACAAGAGAACCCACTGCATGGGAGAACATATTTGCCAATGTTATATCCAATAAGGGTTTTATCTCCAAAATTTATAGGGAACTCAGACAACTTAAAAGGAAGATTAAACAATCCAATAAAAAAAAAAAAAATGGGCAAAGGAGTTAAATAGACACTTTCCGAAAGTGAACATACAGAAGGCCAAGAGACATACGAAACCATGCTCAGAGTCACCAATTATCCGAGAGATGCAAATCAAAACGACAAGGAGGAACCATCTCACACCTGTCAGAATGGCTATCATCAACAACCAACAAACGACAAGTGAGGATGCGGAGAAAAAGGAACCCTCGTGCACTGCTGGTGGAAATGCAGCCACTGTGGAATACAGTATAGAGTTTCCTCAAAAAATTAAAAATGGAACTCCCATTTGACCCAATGATCCCACTGGGTCTTTCAGCCAGCAGACCACAGAACCCCCCTACTATGGGAGTCCACATTCAGGGATAGGAAGGTACTTCAGGGAGTCAGACTAAGGGCTCTGGAGGATGGGGTCCTGCCAGTTGTAGCTCTAAGCACCTCCTGCCATTGCTCAGTGAGGCCTGGTTCAGAAAGGGCCCCTGGCCTGTGAGTGCTAATCAGCCTTGGCCAGAGCAGCCAGGACTCTGTTGTGTGGGGTCCAGAGGCAGAAGTGTGGGGACTTCATCCACAGTAACCTCTAAGCTTCAGAAAGCCTCTCCCTGCCACCCCACACTCTTGCCCACACTGGACAGGGCAGGGACTATTTACAGGGTGTAAGCTGCCTCAGGGAGGCACAATGGGCCAAAGGCTGGCAGTGCTCCCCAGAACCACCCAGACAATGGGGATTGGCTCCCCTGTAACCTGGCAAGGCAACCTTTATTATGTCAAGTGTATTGAGACATCATCTTTATACAATTAAATCCACCCTTTTAAAGCATATAAGTTCAATGAGTTTGGCAAATGTGTATGTCTATATAAGAAAAGAACCCACAATCCAGCTGTACATATCTGTCACCCCCAAATTTCCCTCGGCCCTTTAAAGTCAAACCTCTCCTCCTACCCCTCCTGCATGACCAGCTGTCCAAAACTGCTGATCAGTGTTCTGTCCCTATCATTTTGTCTTTCCCAGAATGTCGAGTAATGGAGTCATTCAGGTTGTAGCCTTTTGAATCTGGCTTCATTCACTGACCATAATGCTTTTGAGACTCATCTGTGTGGTTGCAAGTATCAATAATTCCTTTCTTTTATCGCTGAGTAGTGTATCACTGTTTGGATATATCACGATTAGGTGGACATTTGGGTTGTTTCCAATTTTGACAATTATGAATCAGGCTGCTTCATGCATTCACATACAAGTCTTTCAGTGGACATATATTCTCATTTCTCTAGAGTTAGTACCCAGGAGTGAGATTGCTGGGTTGTATGGTACATGTGTGTTTATCTTTATAGGACACTCACAAACTCTTTACCAAAGTTGGTATTCTCCATCTTTGTTTTTCTTCCCATTGGTGGAACTGTTCCCTCATCATCAACCACAGGACCACTGTGGAAAGACCACTAATTCAGTGAGAAACCCAAGTTATTGAATAGTTGTAAAAAGTTTTTGCTGTTTTATCGATAGTTCCTTTGAGTACCAACCACAACTCTAAGGATTGAGGTAAGAGTGCCTATCCCTGTCTGGTTTACCCAAGAGTCTCCAGGTTTTAGCACTAAAAGTCCTATGTCCTGGGACACCCTTAGTCCTCGGATTAAACTGGGACAGGTGCTGTGGCAGGCACTGTATATCCATCACCTCATTTTACCCAGAAGTCAGTATCAAGGGTAGGTTTGCTTGTCCCATCCTGAGCATAGGAAACAGCCTTTGGAGGTTAAGTTGACTTTCTAGCCCACACTCCAGAGAAGGTGGAGCCAGAAATTGGCAACAGGCCCACCAGACGCCAAAGCACTTGTGTCTTCCTGAGCAGGAGACCTCATTCCCTAGGTGCTGAGATTTGGGCCTCAGGAGTACAGGTCAGCAGATGGCTGGGTGGGGCTTTGCTGCCCTCTGGTGGCAGGTACGGTGGCACTCTAGGTTTGAGTCCACTTTTATGGGGCAGAAAGGCTGGTAAGGCACCCTTTTCTCCCAGGGAGTAGGACCTCAAATCTGGCCTCAGCCCTGGGAGGGTGGCCCTCACCAGTATCTGCTGGGAGCGTTGGTCCAGCCATCCATGAGTATGTGGTCATTTAAGGCCCTGCAGACCCAGGGCCAGACTGCTGCGTTTGAGTCCCTGTGACCTGAGCTCACTCACCCCTCTGGGCCTTATTCAGTTCCTTTTCTATAAATCAGTATGATAAAACGTGTCAATAGACTTAGACTAGGCTTAGACTGAGGTTATTACCATCTCCTTCACACCCACATGCTTTAACTTTCCCACCTTTGTACATTCATTCAGGTCATTCATTCACTTCACTTTCATCCAGCAGTTATCTACCAAGCACCAGCTTTGTGCCAGACCCTGAGGTGGGGGTGCCAGAGAGATGGCTCCCTCTTGGCTTTGTGATTTTTCCACTGTCTCATGTCCTCCTTCCTTCCTTCCTTCCTTCCTTCCTTCCTCATTCACTCACTATGGTATATCCATTCATTTATTGTGTTTATTTTTTTCCAATTATAATTGACATTCAATATTATTTTATAGAGTTTTCATCTCTTTTCCTCATATTTTCACTCATTTAACTTCCTTATCCATTTGCCCACCCACCCATCACTTGATCATCTCGTTTGCATGTTCATTCTTTATTTGTTCAGGCAGTTGTGACTCCCTCCTTTTGTCCCCTCATTTCCCTGTTCTGCAAGCATTCTGGAAGCACCACTATACTCTAGGCCAGGTGGCTCAGCTCTCCCCGCAGACTTGTGAGTGGAGAGATGGTGGGATATAATGTGGTACCTACCCTGCCAGCCAGTGGGACCAGAGCAAGGGAAGCACCAAGAAGAAAACAACTGTCCACCTGGAGGAAGGGGACTGTGAGCAGTCATAGGTTTCACGGAGGAAGTAGCATTTAAGCCAAGCTAAGAAGAGTGTATGGGAGTTCTCCAGGGAGGAAATGACACTTCAGTAAACTCGTGTGTGTGTGTGTGTGTGTGGTGTCTGGAGAAAAGTGAGGTGTTTGGATGGCTGGAGTGTGTGATGTAGGGTCAAGTGTCCCTGACCATACCCAGGCCAAGCCCTCCCTAGGTTCCAGTGATAGACTTGGGCCATTCAAGAGCTTCCCCTAATTCATCACTACCTGGAAAACCACCCACTAACAGGTAGCCAAGAATGGCCTGATAGTGTTAATGCAGTGCCATGTCACATGTCACTGGACACTCAGCAGACAAGCTATCCTGGCTGAGTAGGCTGAGCAGACAGAAGTAGTGAAAGTATCTGAAGTACCTGGCCCCAAAGACCCCATGGTCATCCAACAAATGTTTGGGTGCCTTACTGTATGTCAGGCCTTACCCCAGACACTGGGCATACAGCAGTGAACAAGACAGAACTTCTACTCTCTAGTGGCCAATAAATAATGAGAAAACCAGCAATTGTGAAGACCACCAAGAACATACCTGTAGCGGAACAAGTTGGGTTTATTACCTCTCTAAAAGTAAGACTGTGCTTACTTCAGCAAGAAAGTGGGTATTAAAGATGTCTTATAGGATTTAAGTTTAGGCTAAGTGATTTGGGGAAGCGTTAGATGTTTTCAGGAAGCAGAGACAATTCTGATTGATGTCTTAAATATTTAAAGTGGGAGGAATGACCTGAGATGCCAATGCTGTAAAGAAGCAGCAGTTACTCCTATTAGTAAGAATGGCAAAATGTTCAATCTCTCTCTGGTTCCAAAGATATTCATGTTTCTCCATAAAAAATGATTACAAAGAGCATCCCTTCTAACAACTGCCCTCTTCGTGAGTTGCTTAATAAAGCCAATTAGATCTTGGAAAAATACAAACATGAATACAAAGCTTTCTTGTTTATTCTTGCTCCATCTCCATCACTGAATGGCCTAATGTGATGTTAGCCCTCTGGAAAATTGATGTCCAACAGGAGAGCGCCAACGCCTGGCTTGTGAGTGCCAGGCCAGCTCCAGATGCGAGGGACAGTTTTCTTTTTGGTAAGATAGTCTCATTCACTCGGCTGAGATATATTTGCTGGGGGCCAGGAGCAGAGTAATGGGAGGCGGGCAAAAGAGGTAGGTCCCAGTCCTTAGAAAATTGTTTGCGAAATCTTAAACAGGTTGCCAGAAATGGGTAGGGTAGTCAGAGAAAGATAAGTATCACATGATCTCACTCATTTGTAGATTATAATGGACAAGGTAAACGGATGAACAAAATCAGATCCAGAGACAGAGAAGCATTGATCAGATGCTCAAATCTCAGAGGGAAGGTAGGGGAGGGGGAGGGTAAGAGGGGGAGATCAACCAAAGGATTGTATCAATATGTACGCATATAAGCCTAAGTGATGGACACAGACACCAAGAGGGTGAGGGCATGAAAGGGAGTGGGGGGGGGGGGACAATAAGGGGATAAGGACACATATGTAATACCTTAATCAATAAAGAAAAAAAATAATTATAAAAGAAAGAAAGAAATGGGGAGTGAACCAGACCCAAGGAAGAGTCAGGACAAAGGCTCAGGGTGGGCGGGGAGGCTGAGAGCCATTAGCAAGCAGAACTGCCCGCGGAGCCGTGACGCGCACGGCTGGAGAGGTCAGCAGGGGCAGGACCCTAGGGCACGCTGGACTCCTCTCCCCGGGGACGGGGACTCAGCTGCCGGGATTTACCCAGAAACAGGAAATGAAATCAAGCAGTTTTGATCAAAACAACCTGCCGGGTCTCGGGCTCGTGAATATTCAGCAGCCGGCGACTCCGCCCCAGTCCCGCCCCGCTGGGAGACTGCGCTTGCGTCGCTGGCGCGCGTCTCTGACGTCAGACGTGCGCGCCGCCGCCGCCTTCGCTCGCTGGGGAAACCGGAGAACTGTCATGGCGAGTCCAGCCGCATCCTCGGTGCGACCGCCGAGGCCCAAGAAAGAGCCGCAAGCGCTCGTCATCCCCAAGAATGCGGCGGAAGAGCAGAAGCTCAAGCTGGAGCGGCTCATGAAGAATCCGGTAAGACGAAGCGTGGGCTCGTCCGCCCTCCGAGTCCCACCCCCTTCCCTTCCGGTGCCTCTGGGGGCCCAAGAGCCCACTCCCCCCGCCTCCAATTCAGGAATTCATAACCCGATCCCCAGCGCCCGTCCCTTAGGAAGAGTAGGCTGCTTCAGAGATAGTGAGCTGCTTCTGCCCTTTTGTTACAGCCTAGCCCGACGGGGGCGCTGTGGGGCGGCTTTCCGTGCTCCCAGACCTTTTTCCGTTTAACTTTTTTGTAAACAGAAGCGTTAGACTGTAAAGATAGAGCCTGTGGGTTAGCACAAGGGTTATTTTCCTCTAAACTGTATATCTCGTTAGCCAAGCCGGTGTGGTTCAGTGGGTGAGCGTCGACCCACGAACCGTGAGGTCACGGTTTGATTCCGGGTCAGGGCACTTGCCCATGTTGTGGGCTGCAGCTAGTGGATGATTCTCTCCCTTCCCCTTCCTCTCTAAAACCAATAAAAAAATTTAAAAAAATAAACTACCTCGTTAGAGGCATGGGGCAAGTCGCTCACCCTCTCTAGGCCTCAGGCCCCTCAGTCATAAAAACAATTGGATGAGCATCTCATAGGCCTTAGACTAGAAAGGGTTGACTCTCTTGTGCAGTGTAGGGTTAAAGTTGGAGGCTTCCAGCCGTACATGGTGACTTAGGTTTCTGAGTTCTCCTCTGGAAAGTTTAGAATAGGCTTGATGAGCCTTGTGGTAGTCCCCAAAATATACAGGATAAAGTAAAGCTAAGACAGAGGGAAGAAATCAGCTTTAAGTCCAAGGAGCAAAGCAGTCTTATTTCATTACTCTAGTTAAAATCCTTTGGTTATAAGAGATGTGACTTTGTCAGCAGGTTTATACTTAATAAATTAATAAATGCTCTCCTGTTTAAATATTTCAGGACAAAGCAGTTCCAATTCCAGAAAAAATGAGTGAATGGGCACCTCGACCTCCCCCGGAATTTGTCCGAGATGTAATGGGTAATGTCTTTTGGGGAGTGTGTGTGCATGTCAATATAATTTTTGAGGTATAAATACAAAAGCCCTGCAGTTAGTATATGTTAGTTAGCTTTCTAATAGGAAAAAATAATGTTCACTGTTCCAATATTTTGCTCTTACAACGAAGGGGTTTGGCATCAGAGAATTTTCTTATGCACTGTTCTTAATAATGCCTCATATTGGTTATTTATCCATGGAATAGTTTTATTATTTTGTTGGGTTGTAAATTAACATGTACTAATTAAAAAGAGAAAGAATAGAAGTACTTAAAAAGTTTGAACCACCTGCAATTTCATTGTTCCACGTGTAGCATTCTGCTATAGCCTGCCAAACCTCTTTATAGATAAAGCCACTGCTGATTAAGAAAAAAAATGTTTTTAGAAAAATGTGGTTGGTCTACACATACTATTTGGTAACCAACTTTTTTCACTTAATAGACCATGTATATATTTTTAGCTCAGAAATATAACATGTGAAATCATCTGGTGGAGAGGGAAAGGTCATAGGCTCTCTTCTAGGTTTCCCTGTCACTGAATTGCATTCTAGTTTTCCTCGTAGTTAATACTGCATTAGAGTGGACTTTTTAGTGAATTCCACATTCACCTTTCATGCAACAACTATTTATTGAAGGATGTGCTAGATTATACAGTATAGTGGGGAGTAGGACAGGCAGTCCCTTCCATTGTTGAGTTTCTTTCTTTGATCACTGTTAATTAAAGGTAGCCTGTGTTGATAACTGGAGCTCATCAAGAACTCTGAACTATCTTGGCTATAGGTTCAAGCGCTGGTGCGGGCAGTGGAGAGTTCCATGTGTACAGGCATCTGCGCCGGAGAGAATATCAGCGACAGGACTACATGGATGCCATGGCTGAAAAGGTCAGTGAGCAAGGAGGCTGCCTGAGCCCGTGGGTATGAACAGGGTGCACTTAGTAACTTCTAGAAAAAAGCATTTGAAACAGCATAGATACACCTGATTTGTGTAAGGACTACCTTTTAAAGCTAGTACCAGAAACAGACATCAAGTAGAGCCCCATTAATCCTAGATCAAGTTTACAACGTAAGATAAATACCTATATTATACTACTCTGTTTCCCCCAAAATAAGACTGCGTCATATTAATTTTTTTCTCCCAAAGTTGCGTTAGGTCTTATTTTTAGGGGATGTCTTCTCTTTCCATGCACTGGGTCTTATTTTTGGAGGATGTCTTATTTCCGGGGAAACACGGTAGTAGAAGGGCACAGCCCTTCAGGCCATTGCATGAAATTTAATAGAAAGCAGGATCTCCCACACCAACTTGAGCTATTTTATTTCTCTCTCTTTTTGGCTGAATATAATTCCAGTTAGGGTGTTTTTCTGTGAATACTAGTGTGTTTCTATGTGTCTGCTTTTAGTTTTTTAGCTTGGCTGCTGGCAGCTCTTCATGACAAGTGTCAAATAATAATTGATTGAGAATTGCTTTAGAAATTATACTGTAAAAACTATTAAGCATTACTTGACCAGAAGGGCCAGAAGTTTCCTATTTAAAAAATACTCTTTTTGAACATATCACTTGTTTTATTTTTTTAATTAAAATTTGGAGGTATTTTATCCACACCAAAAGTTTGCTGGATTTTTCACTAGAATTGATTGCTTCCTCCCCCAAGGCCTAAGTTATTATTTTTCACTAGAATTGAGTTGAATCTGTAACTTAATTTAAATTGAGAATGGATGCTACAGTGTTAGTCATCCCTCAAGAAACTGTGTTTTTTCACTTTTTAAAAATTTTTTGTATCTCTCTGATGATTTGTGGAGATTTTGCATATATCTCACCACAATTTGTTCAAAGATATTTTAAGTTTCTTTATTGCAGTGATGCTAGTTGGTCTTCTATTTTATTACTTGATGTTACTGAGATGCAGGAAAAGAAATACTGACTTTTGTATAGTGCTCCTAATTTGCCCACCATACTATTTTTTAAAAATCAGATATTATTTAGCTGTTTCTTTGTGGTTTTCCAAATCTAATTTCTCCTCAACATTGTATATGATGCCCTAGCCGATTTTGCTCCATTATTAGAGCAAGGGTCTCAGGTCATCAGTTCAATTTCTAGTCAAGGGCACATACCTCAGAGGCAGGTTTCCCAACCCTGGTAGGGCACATGTGGGAGGCAACCTATCCATGTGTCTCTCTCACATCAGTGTCTCCCTCTCCCTCCTCCTGCTTCCCTCTTCATCTCTCTTCCCCTCCCTCTCTTCCCCTGCTTCCCTCTTCATCTCTCTTCCCCTCCCTCTCTCCCTCTCTCCTCCTCCTCTTCTCCCTCTCTCTCTTCCCCCACCTCCTCCACTCCCTGGAAAAAAAATATCCTTGGATGAGGATTAAAAAGAAACAAACAAACAAAAAAAACATTATGCATGAGAGATTGTCCCTTGTTCTTAATCTTACAACACGCACTAGAAAAATCCTTTTCCTCAGTCTTCTCATAATAGCTATTATTTCATGGAATATATCTATACTACATTTTGAGAGATTTAGATACTTAAAACTATTAGTCTGCTTTTTATGAAAGAGGAGACTACCCAATTTGATTTAAAAAGTTAGATTTAGCCCTAGCTAGTTTTTTCAGTGGTTAGACCACAGACTGAAGGGTCAAGAGTTTGATTCCGGCCAAAACCGGTTTGGCTCAATGGATAGAGCGTCGGCTTGGGGACTGAAGGACCTGGGTTCGATTCCAGTCGAGGGCATGTACCTTGGTTGCGGGCACATCCCCAGTAGGGGGTGTGCAAGAGGCAGCTGGTCGATGACTCTCTCTCATCGATGTTTCTAACTCTCTATCTCTCTCCCTTCCTCTCTGTACAAAATCAATAAAATATATTTAAAAAAAAAAAAGAGTTTGATTCCGGTCAAGGGCATATTAACATTGGTTGCAGATTCAATCCCGACCCAGTCTCTCTCATGTCAATATTGCTTTTTAAAAATATATATATATTTTATTGATTTTGTACAGAGAGGAAAGGAGAGAGATAGAGAGCTAGAAACATCGATGAGAGTGAGTCATCAATCAGCTGCCTCTTGCACACCCCCTACTGGGGATATGCCCGCAACCAAGGTACATGCCCTTGACCAGAATCGAAGAATCAAACCTGGGACCCTTCAGTCCCCAAGCCAATGCTCTATCCATTGAGCCAAACCAGTTTCGGCTCATGTCAATATTTCTGTTTCTCTCTCTCTGTCTTCCCTCCTCTCTCTCTATCTCCCTCCTTCCCTCCCCCTGCCTCCTTCATTCTCTAAAAAAAATATTAATGGAAAAAATATCCTTGGATAATAATTTTTAAAAAATAAGTGTACAATGGGATCTGGGGTCATTTTCTGGCTAGTTTTACCTTTATCTTGAGTTAGTCTGGCTCTAATTGGTTTTTATTCTGGCTTCCTGACTATGGTGATTTAAACCATCTGCTCTTAAGCATCTTAAGTTAGGGAGGTTAGGGTCTTGTGATTTATTAGCTAACTGTTAATTGCTCAGCTGTTCCCCATCCTTTGTCTCAGTTTCCTCATTCCACTTTCCGGAGAATTTTCCTAGTTTCTTACTACCCTGCTTCAGTATCTTACTGAATCAAATTCACCATCAGAGAGCCCTGTATTGATTTCCCACCCCCTCTGTGGGGCAACCACTTAAAGTTAAAGTGGCCCTGGAGATCTAGATAGGCTTGTAGCACTCCCACTGGTGTGACTTTTGGAGCTCTCATATCCAGCCCACAGTGTGTCTAAATGATGTGGGGGTTTTTTGCAGCAAAAATTGGATATAGAGTTTCAGAAGAGACTGGAAAGGAATAAAATTGCTGCAGAGGAGCAGACTGCAAAGCGTCGAAAAAAACGGTAAGGGCTTGTGGCATTTCATAACTAATGAGACTTAAAGGCAGGAAATGGAAAGTAGATGCGTGGTTGGTTAATGAGTCCTTGCAGTCAAAAGTTAGCGGTATAACCTGTAGAGGTCTCTGGTGTTTAACCCACCATGGAGCAATCCAGTAGAGCAGTGTTTCAGGAAACACTGCACCAGAGGAATGGCTTTTCTTCAGACACTCCAGGAGAGAGCAAGACACTTCCTGTGCCCTTCCCCCAGCTGGTTACAACTTCTTCAAAGCTTGGAGGTCAGCACTTCCGTGATCATATGGATTTCTCTTCACTTCTGTATTTTAACTTCAGGTTTAACTAGGTGCTGTGAGTGAACTTCTCACTTAGCTTCTTCCTTAGATTAGGGCCTGTGATCTTCCCAAGAGACTATATAAGTATACAGGTTGCATGTGTGTGCGTTTTAATAAATACTCCCTTATCAGTCTAAGAAATGTCTAAACCTGTAGGGAATTTTTTAAGAATTTATTTGAGCCAAACTGAGGACAGCTGATGGGAATCAAGATCTTAAATAAATGGCCTCTTGATTCGTGAAGAAAAATGGGTTGATGCTGGAATAGCAGAATCATAAAGTATTCTTTCATTTTATTAATGTAGTGTTTGTGTGATTATAACATTTTTAAAAGTCTTATAAGTAGATGTTTCTAACATACACAATAAGGTAGCTAAGGGATTAATGTATTTATATTACATTTGTAGCCAAAAGTTAAAAGAGAAGAAATTATTGGCAAAGAAGATGAAACTTGAACAGAAGAAACAAAAAGAAGGTGAGTAGTGCCCACTTTTCTTGGTTGTGATCTTTCATGGTGTTGCACAGAAGCTGACCTGCCAAGAATGAGACTTAGAGTGGAACTGATTGGCTGACCAGTGAAGAAATTAGGGCTTATTTCTATTAGTTAGGGCTCATTTAATTGCAAGTGTCAGAAAGCCAAACTGGTTTAAGCACAAAAGGAACATACTAGCTCATGTTAAGTCCAGGACAAACCTTCCTTCAGTCATGACTAGTTAAAAGAGCTTTGAGTTGTTATTGGCATTCACTGTTTCCCTCTGTCTCTTGGCATCCTGTCTTCAGGCAGGCTCATGTCATCCCTGTGGTTGTAAGGTTCCTGAGGCTGGACCCTGCCTCATTCTTGTCCAGCAAGAAAGATTGAGATGTCCCTAGCAAAAGTGTTTTTGTGTTCCTTTGTCTGATTGAATCACTTGGCAAGTCAGTCAAGAAATACTTTTGGCACCACCCTGGCCAGTTTAGCCCAATGGGTAGAGCATCAGTCTCTGGTCCCAGGTTTGATTTGATCTAGGGCATCAGTTGCAGGCTCCATCTCAAACCCCAGTTGGGGTATTGGAGGCAACCAATCATTGTAAGAGACACATCGATGTTTCTTTTTCTTTGTCTTTCCTCTCTCCTCTACTCTCTCTAAAAATCAGTGGAGAAATATCCTCAGGCAAGATTAACAACAACAAAAAGAAGAATAAAAATTGTTGCTTGGCCAGCATGGCTAACGGCTTATACCCTGGTTCCAGGCTCAATCCCCAGTGTAGGGTGTATAGAAGGCAGCTGATCAAGGATTCTCTCTCATCGTTGATGTTTCTATTTTTGTCTTTCTCTCTCTTCCTCTCTGAAATCAATATAAATATATTTTTAAAAAAGAATAGTTTTGGCACCCTGGCTGGGGAGGGGGGGGGAGATGGGGGTGGTGCGCGCAGTTGCTTATACCTTTTTTGGTTTTCGGTTAAATGCCCGGACAGGGTACCTATGAGAGGCAATCAAATGATATTTCTCTCTCCTTTTCTCACTCAAAAAAAATTAATGAAATACAGCCTCAGGTTGGAGTTTTTTAAAAGAATGCTTTTGACTGCAAGAAACAGGCTCAACCAACAGTAGTTAAACAAAGAGGAATTCCTTTTTCTTACATAACAGGAAATCAGGTGACAGGTGGCAGCCTTTTATGGTTCAGCAGTTCGATAGTGTCAGGCTCAACATCCCTGCAGTTCTTTAGGCCTTTGTCCTAAGGGCATGATACGGCTATTGCAGCTCCTGGCATCAGACCTATGTTCAAAGCAGGAAGAAGAGGGAAAAGAGTGCTACTTGTCTGCTGTGTGTTTTTGTGTGTGTGTGTGTGTGTGTGTTTTCTGTAACTGAAAAGCAAAACATCCCCTAGAATTGCTCAACTGTTGACATCTTATATGTCATTGATCAGTACTAGATCACTTTGCCTTCTCTTGCTACCATCAGGCTAGATGAATAGATAAAAGAATTGTCATGACCATCTTTAACCTCTCATGATCCATCATTGAGAGCTGGATACGTGGCATCCCTAGATAGAACTGAGTTTGTTGATGAAAAATAGGAGGTGAGTAATGTGACAACATACCACAGAGCTGCCAGTCTTGCCTACCTTTGAAACCATCACAAGGCCGGAAGTATCAGCCACTCCCCTGGGAGCCCCTGAGCTGAGAGTCAGGGACAGAGGGGTTTCAGATAGGAAGGAAGGACAAAGGATGCTAAGAAACAAACAAAACAAAAAATTGCAACTCTCCTTAACATTATTGAATCTGTGGCAATTCCCTGATTGACTAGGCATATTTCCCGATTGGACAGTTATGATAAAGTCAGACTTTCACTGGCATAATGCAATATGATTGGACCCTTCAAGGGCCAGTTTCCTTCTGAGTTATAAATGTACTGAGACACACTATATATGGTATAGTTTTTTACTAAAAGAAATTCTTTTATGATGCCTGGAAAAGAGGCTGTTTTCTACTGAGTCAGATTGAATGAAGATAATCCTTGCAAATACAGGTTTTTAGGGAGCTGCCAGACAGGTCAAATAAGTTCAGACCTCTGTGTGGAACTTCTGAGGCACTCCCAATGCAGCTTACCTCCTCCAGTGGTTTGTAGGCTGGTACTTTTCCTAGGTACTGCGATTATGAGGCTTTTGGCTTTGGTGACTACCTTGGTTTTATGAAGAAGGTGGGGAATAGGACAAGCTAAGACACCACAAAGCTTGCTGTTCTGACCAGGGAGGGATTGAAGAGAGCTCCAGGTTGTGTGTCCAGCCCATCTTCTCAGCAAGTCTGGTCCCCCCCAACTGCTCTCCCCTGCAGGCCTGGGTACTTCCCCCTCCCCCCCCCCAAATTGCCCTTCCCTGCAGGCCCGGTCGCCTCCAACTTTCCTCCTCTGCCAGTCTGGTCACCCTATCTGCCCTCCTCTGCAGGCTTGGTTGCCCCCAACTGCCCTCCCTTGCTGACCTGGTCCCTTCCAACTGCCCTCCCTGCTGGCCATCTTGTGGCAGCCATCTTGTGTCCACATGGGGGCACTCATCTTTGACCACATGGGGGCAGCCATCTTGTGTGTTAGAATGATGGTCAATTTGTACATTATCCTTTTATTAGATAGGATTAGATAGGATAGAGGCTTGGTGCACCGGTGGGGGCCAGCTGGTTTGCCCTGAAGGGTGTCCCGGATCAGGGTGAGATTCCCTTGGGGTGTGGGGCGGCCTGGGCAAGGGGCCTGTGATGGTTTGCAGCTAGCCACGCCCCCAGGAGAGGCCCTGGGATCTGGGATTTATTTATCTTCTACAATTGAAACTTTGTAGCCTTGAGAGGAGGCCTGGGCCTGCCAGGGCGGGTGGAAAGTTTGGCTTCCTTTATTGCCAGGGGCACCCCAAGCCTCCTGCTCTCTCTGAGACCACAGCCATCTTGGTTGGGTTAATTTGCATACTTGCTCCTGATTGGCTGGTGGGCATGGCTTGTGGGTGTGGTGGAGGTATGATCAATTTGCATATTATTCTTTTGTTAAATAGGACAAGCACATCAAGAAAAATGGGGGAGGGTGAAGCAAATTAAAGAATTTACAACATTATTGGCCTCTTGTGCTCATTTTATACAGTGCTAAATAATTGTCTCCATGTTATTATCAGAAGCACCTTACTATGATTTGGTCCAGGATAATAGTAATATATGGCTAGAAAAACAAATGAATGAATTAGTCTACTATACATAACCTATACACAAAATTCCAAATATTTGTTCCACATGAAACTCTATGGCATATATTTGATTTTTTTCTGGCAAAAGCGGGAAATTGAAGCACAGTACACAGGAGACACTCCTGCAGCTTCCTGGATGGTAAATGGATCGAATTCTAAGATCATAGTTCACAGCAGGTAATTCAACAGGCTTCACTGGCTACTTCCCCTCTCAAAACAGTTCATTATTAAAAGGTACTGGCTTCATCCAATGTCCTCAGGCACCTAACATATTAAAACCTACTCTCAGTTTCCCACTGTCTCTTCCTCTCTGCCTTCTCTTCTGCCTTCTTCTACAGCATGGATTATTTAACAAAAACAAAAAACATTTTTTATTTTTCAGTTACGTTGACATATAATAATATTTTAGTTTCAGACATATAACCTTGTGATTAGACATTTAGGTAACTTATGAAGTGATCACCCTGATAAATCTAGTAACCATCTGACTATTACAATATTATTGACTATATTTCCTATGCTGTACTTTACATCCCCTTGACTACTCTGTAACAACCAATTTGTACTTAACTCCTTTAACTTTTTCACCCATTCCCCCAACCCCCCTCCTATCTGGCAATGATAAAAATGTTCTCCGTATCTATTAGTCTGTTTCTGTTTTGCTTGCTTATTGTTTTTTAGATTCAATTGTTTTATAGATATTTACTGTCATTTTATTCTCTTCTTTTTAAAGGAGAACCTTTAACATTTCTTGTAATAATGATTCAATGGTAATGAACTCCATTAGCTTTTTGTTGTCTGAAAAGATCTTTATAGGTCCTGCAAATCTAAATGACAACTTTCTTGTGTAATCTTGGTTATTGTAGGTCTTTGCTGTCCGTCACTTTAAATATTTCTTGCCACCCGCTTCTGGCCTGCAGATTTTCTGTTGAGAAGTCAGCTGACAACTTTATGTGAGCTCCCTTGTAGGTAACTTATTTTCTCTTGCTGCTTTTAAGAATCTGTCTTTTAATCTTTTGCATTATAATTATGATGTGTCTCAGTATGGGTTTCTTTGGGTTCATCTTGTTTGGGACTCTCTGGGCTTCCTGGACTTGTATATCTATTTCCTTCACCTGGTTAGGGAAGTTTTCTGTCATTTTTTCAAATGGGTTCTCAACTTCTTGCTCTCTTTCTTCTCCTTGTACTCTCATGATGTGAATGTTGGAATGCTAGAAGTTACCCAGAGATTTTCTACACCATATTCTTTTTTTTTTTTTTTTTTTAATTCTTTTTCTTATTGCCGTTCTGATTGGGTGTTTTCTTCCTTATGTTGTAAATCACTGATCTGATTTTCAGCTTCATCTACACTACTGTTGATTGCCTATAAATTATTCTTCATTTCAGTTAGTGTATCTGTTAGGTCTGATCAAATAATTGAATTCTAAAGGTCAGTTCCCATATGCACGAAATCATGCACTGGGAGGGTAGGGACGGTGTCCCTCCGCCCAGCCTGTGCCCTCTTGCAGTCTGGGACCCTTCAGGGGATATCTGCCTGCCGGCTTAGGCCCAATCCCCTAAGCGGGCAGAGGGACATCCCTCTCACAATTTGGGACCCCTCGCTCCTCACCACCTGCCTGCTGCTCCTTACAGCTTGGCTCGCTGCTCCTTGGAGCTGCCATGGAGGCAGGAGAAGCCCCCACCACTGCCACTGCGCTCGCCAGCTGTGAGCCTGGCTTCTGGCTGAGCAGCGCTGCCCCTGTGGGAGCGCACTGACCACCAGGGGGCAGCGCCTGTTT